GTTGATTTACTAAATTTCAGTCTGTCTGGAGCGTACATAATTTTATAACCGATGGTACTGAACTTTTAGTAGATTAATTAATAGGGATTACAATTAAAATAGTGAGTCAAACCTGCTGTCAAAAACTTTCTTACAGTTAGACCCAATTTATTCACGATTGAACCAGTTTAGTAAATTGGATAACAACTTTGGTTGTTAATGTCAATTAAACATTTTCTACAAAAGATTGAAATATCTAAAATGTATTTTAAAATCATTTTACTTAAGTGTTATGCCTTGAATGTTGATTGCATTTTTAATATCAGTTTTAGAGAAGTTTTGCTTGCTTCTTTTAAAAAGAAAACAGGGTTAATTTCATAAAAGCCGCAATTGTTTTTTTTTTGTAATTAGGCCTTTGTTGGGGTAAGATAAGGGATGAATGTAGCGAAATTAACTATATAAGCGATGCTAAGAGGATTAATAGACGGAAAGATCTCCCGTTGAATAAAAGAAAGTATCATTCAAATTTGATCAGAAATATTGAGGTAATATTTCTAGTAGGGAGGAGCTCGATGGCGCAGGTGGTTAGCGCGTTTGGCTGCGATCGTTGAAGTTAAGCAACTTTCGCAGTGGTCGGTCATTGGATGGGTGACCAAAAAACTTCTATCTCGAGTTCCTCCATGCTTTGGAAGGCACGTTAAGCCGTTGGTCCCGGCTGCATTTGCAGTCGTTAGCACCCGCCAATCCGCACTGGGCACGCGTGGTGGATCATGGCCCAATCTCCCTATTCCATCCATAGGGAAGGCCTGTGCCCCAGCAGTGGGGACATTAATAGGCTGATGATGATGATGATGATTGAGGTAATCGGGGTGCATATAAGTGAAGTAATGTGAAAATAAAGAAACAAAATAAATATTTCCAACAATCACACCAATTAGCCTAGCCCCAAAGTAAGCACCATAGATACTAGGGTAACGGATAGAACACATTATACTGATACATATATAAGTGCAACTGTATATAGAAATACATTTTAAACATCCATGACTGGAGCACAAATAGTCGTATTAATTACACAGACATCTGCCCCCACCGGGATTCTTATCCGGGACCTCTTGAGTAGGCGACACCTTGAAACCCGGCGTACAAACCACTCGACCACGAAGGTTGACGAATAACGTCGTCCATGTTTGCAAAGATGCTTTTTATATAAAAACTGCTTGGCCAAACAGTATTAAATTTTTATGGAATTAAATAAGAACTCTAAAGAAAAGTTTACTAGAAAAGAATCCACGCGGACCAGGCAGCGGACGGGACTCGAACCCGCACCCTTCGCAATCCGGGCGAATGCACTGACCATTATGCTACCACGGCCCTATTGGCCGCGTCGAAATTTTCCTAACCTTAAGCTGCAAGGCAGCGCCATCTCTTCGCATTGTAGTTGTACTCTTTAGATTTACACATCTAGCAGTTAAATGCTTAAAAATAAATAAAAACATAAATAAGAACTGTTTTGCATCAAAAAAAAACAAGTAAATCGGACCATAAAACTATGAGAATAACATATCAATGTAATACGAGTACAGTTATGAGAATAAAGACATCTAATTCTTAAAGTGACTCCGCTGTCGCTACTTTAAACCTATTAGCTTTTCTATATTATACAAATTTATATTCTTCGAGTAGTATTCCGTCCACTTTCCTTAGCTTACTGTAAAAATATCTCTCTTGAATGCATTTTCAGTCTTGATAACGGTTTTTCTTGAATAAATTACTTATCTCCTGGATCTTTTATAACTTAACTTGCACAAGTTCCACAATCTGCCGTTAAGTTAGCGTTTTGGTTAACTCAGAACGATAAATTAAGCGTAAAACTTACTTATACTAGTCAGATGGTATTTTTCTCAAGTCATTGGAATTAAACCTATAAAGGTTTATTGAATTCGATTGATGGAGCTGATGACACCTTATCAATCCAATCAGTGTACTTTGATAATGTATGAATATTGTATATCCAAGTACAGCAAGACAGTTATTTGAAGTACCTACCTACGTTCTCAGTCAAACCTAAACCAGTGGTAGAAAAAAATTAGGACTATAACGAGCCAGCAGTACTTATTAATGTATTTATTATTAAACCACAACAGAAATCACTCTACATAGTAAAATTAATATATATTTCTCTCTTATCACTCGAGCGCTAGAAGAGAAATATACATATATTAATTTTACTATGTAGAGTGATTTCTGTTGTGGTTTAAAAATAAACTAGCAAACCAGTGAACCAAATGTTCACCAAAACCTGATTTCTCGAAAACCGGAAGTGCTACGTTACTCAAATCCGGTTTGTAGTCTTATCAGACTATTTTTAACTTATAACTTAAATATTCTCTTTATCTATCTCTTACGGTTTGGCCGCTGAAACAGCACCACGGACAGACGGACTCGTCTAATAGATAAGAGATGCATTAATACGTACTGCTGGCTCATTATAAATGGCGCCCAACGTGGGGCCATTAGGCGCTAGCTAGAACGCGAGGGCGCTAGGTTCGAACTAGAGGGGGAGTGTGTAACAACCCTAGGTCATCCACATACAGCCTCGTTAACCTTACGAATTGCACGCTTGCGCGGTAGAGTCGAGCTGTGAGTATCCTAGCAACGCGCTCGAGTGATAAGAGAGAAATATATATTAATTTTACTGTGTAGAGTGATTTCTGTTGTGATTTAATAATAAATGCATTAATAAGTACTGCTGGCTCATTATACGACTATTTAAAAGAGTGGTTTTATATATTCAATTCGAATAACAATATTTTTAATTAGTATCGGCTGGGGAAGAAATGGCTACTTCACAGCAGGCAATAGTAAATGACATTCTATACTGTATTGTGGCTTTGTAGGTGAGTGGGGTTCATAAGCTCCTAAGTAGGCGTTTGGGTTGAAGAGGCACCATTTTTTGCATTCGCTACCTTCGCCATTGAACTCCACTAAAACTGAACTGATTAGATATGGTTGGGTAATTTGCAACAGCTTTAATAAAAATATTTTTTTTTTTTTTTTTTTTATTCATTAATAGGTAAGCGCTTGACCATAATTCGCCTGATGGAAAGCAATATTATGGTCTACGATGGAGCGCGCTTACCTAATAAAAACCGGTTCACTCTTGCTTTGAAGACCGCTAGATTGTAGTGTTCGGGGAACAAGGGCTCAGGCAAGGAATTCCACAGTTTGGCAGTCCGCACGATGAAGCTGGACGCGAATCGCTTAGTGCGAGTCTTTGGAACTGCCACCGTGAATCGATGTCGCCTTGCCGTTTCCCTGCTCGTCCGGTAGTAGAAAGGGGCGGGAGGAATTAGCTCATGTAATTCCTCTGCGCATTCACCGAAATGCAACCGATAGAACACCGAAAGACTGGCAACTTTGCGTCGATGTTCCAGGCTTTGTAACTTTGCCCGGCAAAGCGCGTCATTTCCAATGAGCTTTATCGCTCGTTTCTCAATTGCCTCCAACGCCTCAAGTTGGTACTTAGCCGATCCATCCCAGAGGTGCGAACAATACTCCATGCACGACCGAACTTGTGCTTGATATAATGTAAGCAACTGTTCCGGCTTGAAGTATCGTCGCACCTTCGAGAGGATACCCAACTTCTTGGCTGCTAATTGGGCCTTGGACTCAATGTATGAGCCAAAGTTGAGGGTTGGTGACAATGTAATACCGAGTAGCTCGAGATGGTCGCTGATCGGTACGGTTACATCCCGGAAAGTAGGGGCCAGATTAAATGGCGTCTTTTTTGCTGTGAAAAGACACGCCTGGGTTTTCGCAGCATTGAACCCAACTAAATTGGCATCGCCCCAATCGGAGACAGCCAAAAGAGAAAGGTTCAAGCGCTCGACCATGGCCTCCCTATGGGACTGGATTTCTGTCGCACTGGCTCGCGCGGTGGATATATAGCTCTCTACAACTGTGCTGTCGTCTGCATACCCAAAGATACCGGGTCTTAGCAGATCGTTAATGTGCAGCAGAAACAGCGTTGCAGAGAGTACCGACCCCTGGGGGACACCGGCATTGATAGCCCAAAGATCCGAGGAGCAACCATCCACTACAACTCGAATAGACCTATCCCTCAGAAAGTCTGAAATCCATGCACAAAGCCCAGTAGGCAGGCCGTATGAGGATAACTTGCTAATAAGACCGTCGTGCCAGACCCTGTCGAAGGCTTTGGAAATATCGAGAGAAACTGCTAGAGCTTCCCCGTACTTCTCGATGGCTTCACTCCATATGTGCGTGGCGCACGCTAGAAGGTCACCCGTGGACCGATTCCGGCGAAAGCCGTATTGTCGGTCGTTTAGGAGGTCGTTAGATTCTAGGTACGCCAGGAGCCTGTGGTTCAAAATACGTTCCATACTCTTACAGAGTATGGACGTAATTGAAATAGGCCGGTAGTTAGCAGGGTCAGCACGACTACCCTTCTTGGGTACAGGCTGTACGTTAGCAAGCTTCCAAGAACTCGGCACTTTACCAGTTGCAAGGGACAGCTGAAAGAGGCGCGTCAAGACAGGAGTCAACTCAGGCGCACAAGACCTCAGAACAATGGCTGGAATACCATCGGGACCACTAGCTTTATGCACGTCCAGATTGCGCATTTAAATCAAGGGGAAGCAAACAACTCCACCTATTCACCTGATGTGAATCAAATAAGTGGTGTGATCGGACAACCGAACTTCACCCACAAAGAAGACTATACGCTCTTGGCCGGATTTTTATATAAGAAAGTTTTTTTTTATTTGTTTATAGCACATAACATTCACAATAAAACTGCTGACTAAACAAAAACAAAAAACCCAACAAAAACAAAAAATAGCTACAGCAATAAATGTGTATTTTTTGTGAAGCCAACACTGGCTATGAGCCATAATAGGTAATTCCTGCTGCACTGGTATTCTGCTATACCCAGCACAGTCCCACCACAGAAAATAGAAGAAGAAATATAATAAAGTTACAATAATCGTATCTCTTTCTAGGTATCATGGGTTCGGCGAAGAGGCAGAGACGAGATGCCCGAGTTGCTGACTGTTGGGGCAGTGACGTATGCGGCGGACAACCGTATCTCAGTTGCTCGAAGGTACCCTGGGAACTGGAGACTACTCATCAGGGAGGTCAAGCCGGACGACGAAGCAGTCTACGAGTGTCAGATATCTACACATCCCCCGAGAGTCAGCAGGACTTTTCTTCACGTGAACAGTGAGATTTCTTGAAGTTCCTAAGAAGTGGCGTATTATAGGGGGCATACAAACAGATGACTCACCTGATGGTAAGTGATCACCGGTGTCCATAGACATCTGCAACACCAGAAGTAAACTAATGCGATGCCGGCGTTTAAGGAAGGAGTACATTTGATCCGGCTCGAAGGGCCAACTTCTGCATGTAGAAATAAAATGCAGAGGAATATATTGGAATGAAAATTAATTTATTTAAGGAGATGAATTAAGGCGCGGATTTCTTATACTGTACAGGGATTTTCCGAACCAGCTTCATCGAGAACCAAAATGTCTAACTGAATCTGTTCATAGGACTTAAATGTAGAATCTAATCACTGTTTTTTGAAGGTGTACGGGTCGTATTAGTCCAAAACACTGCTGGCGACCAATATATTCCACAGTTTTGGCGTACGTAGTAAAACAATTTGAAAAAATCGCACGACACAATTACAGTATTACAGAAATTACTGTTAAAATAGGTGAATAAATTTTACCAACACATATGTTACTATACTCTAAAGATCAATGTCATGTTTACCTTCGAACCTGTTATTAATGTATTTTACAGTAATAGGGATGATGACTATTTTTTTTTCTTCGTTTATCAGGTAGATTATCAAAAAGTATTGGGCACGTATTTTTTCTTTTTTCACATTATATAAACATTGCAGATATATATTGATTTGAAAAGTCGCCTGACGTCACGTTTGAGTACACTTATAAGTGATAATTTACTAAAAAGTGATGTCACGAGCCCCTACTCCCAAACTTTGACGCGCTATAACTTTGTCATATTTTGGTTGATTGCCCAAAGAAAAAATGCGTGTCCATTATTTTTTGATCATCTAACTGACGGACTAAATAGAATTTCGTTTACTGTACCCCGTCATCACCCATATTAAAACGTAATTCCAACAAAGAAACCAAAGATTCCATAGAATGCAATAGTGAAATCAAACTATAAAAGTATGATTCACTCATCTATGATCTTCAATAATTTTATAAACATACTAACTATGTTGCTTTCACTATTTGTAATCCTATATCTTCTCTGGTATTTTAAAAGGAACTCTTTTTATTTTATACGACGAAGTTGAATATGATTTACTCTATGTTACTACATATAGCAATATATTTTGTATCGCAAGTTTCTATATGCTATGGTACCCGCTTACCATCAGGCAGGCCATACGCTTGTTTAACACACTTTTGACATAAAAAAATATAATATTCTGGGTTTCTTACCGGTTCTTCTTCTCCGTCACATAACATCAAGAATCAAGAACATCTTAACATGAAGTCCAGACAGATTCGGGCGGAGTAATTTGTCAGACCTATCTATAAAAAATAAAATATCGAAATCCTAATTAAAGGACATTGGGCAAAAATGTATGGGCGCTGCACCCACGACCGCCACGGCTTAAACTACATCTGTTTCAAAGGTATTATAGTCATGATCATCTGTGCCAAAGCGCATCAAATTCCGTCCTGGGGGTCTTTAGTTATTTTAAGTTAAATAGGTACAAGTACTATAACGAACGAACATCAATGAAACAAGGGAATTAATTAAGATAGTTAGTTAGACCCTACATAGGGGGCTCAGGTATTATAGGAGTACTTCACTAGGTGCAGGGGTGCCCCCTTAGGGAATTCTGCCGCGCTAAATTAAATTCAAAAATCCCCGCATGAGTTGGGGTTTTTTAAACATTCTGTTCGTTATAGTAAATTGTCTTCTATGTAAAACGGATCACACAAACTTGTCCTCTCTTCGAAGAAAACATAATTCCAGTTCATCCATACTAATTGACAAAACCAATAATCGTGTTTCAATGTCCAAAGCGTGTTAGATATAAATCAATCAAGTGACAGGGAGCGCACAATCACAACGAAATAAGACGAGTCGATTATTTGCAACTACGAGTCCTTCAACTCCCGTAAACAGTTTTGAGGTGGCTCAGTAAGTGCAAGCGCAGGATGGTCGGCAGGCTTTGTTGTATATCTGTTTGTATAGTATGATATGGCATATTATTATGGTTACTCATAATATAAAATGAAGGTACTAAAAATAAATTTATTTAGCTACTTAAATATGCCCATGTGTCATGTTTTGACTACCAAGATATTTTTACGGTGTCATATCTTTTGACTCCCAGGATATTTTTTTATGGTGTCATAATAAAAAAGGCTAGTTTTTCATAGATCTATCGATTCATACTAATTACAGTGTTGGCGGAGCTGGGTGTGTTTTGCCCATTGTCCTTTAGGTTAAATATACCATTGGTTTGCACATCTATGGCAGGAGAACTTGGAGAAGAAGAACCGGTAAGAAACTCAGAATATTATACTTTTTTATGTGAAAAGTGTGTGCCAAACAAGTCAATACAGATTTATAACTAAAATTGAGTTTTGTCATACAGCACCGCAAGTTTGGGTGGTAGATGAAGCTGGTGCTCCGTTACTGGAAAAATACTATGAAGCGGAATCGACGCTCGCGCTGGTCTGCAGGGCGCGGCACGTGGACACGCCAGCAGTATTGACGTGGTTGCACGAAGGTCGTGCGCTTAATGCCGACACAACGAGAGGCGGTATAAGGTATTTATTTATTTATTAATAGGTACGAGGAGCTCGATAGCGCAAGTGGTTAGCGCGTTCGGTTGCAATCATTGAAGTTAAGCAACTTTCGCAGTGGTCGGTCATTGGATGGGTGACCAAAAATTTATTTTCTCGAGCCCCTCCATGCTTCGGAAGGCACGTTAGGCCGTTGGTCCTGGCTGTATCTGCAGTCGTTAGTACTCACCAATCCTCACTGGGCCCGCGTGGTGGGTCATGGCCCAATTTCCCTATTCCATCCATAGGGAAGGCCTGTGCCCCAGCAGTGGGGAAATAAATAGGCTGATGATGATAAATAGGTAAGCTGTTGTTGTAAGCTCGAAAGCAGAGATGGGAGCTATGGAGTTAGCAGCTTAGCCAGAAGTAGTCTTTGGCTTTAAAAAGAGTCGGATAACAATATAAACTTGCAAATACAGACGCAGGTAGGCAACTGCACTCCTTCATTGTTTACATTACAAAAGTATTTGAGAAGCGTTTAGTGCGGAAGTCAGGAACAGGAACCAACAAAGGATTGCTGTCTTCTTCTTTCAATTCCGTCTGACAAGTGCCATATTCCATGTGACGTGGCTGCATGAGGGATCTGGAACTTAATGCTGATTGACGTGGCTGAACTTAACTCGTCCGTTATTGCTGACACCACTTAATTGCAGTATAAGGTAAACAGATCATGATATCATCAACATATAAACGTCTCCACTGATGAAGCAGACTTTTTCTATGGATGGAATAGGGAAATTGGACCAAAAAAATATCACGTTCCGCGGTGCGTGTGAGGTAAAACAATGTAGATTATAATTAAAAAAAAAAAACTGCAAAATACTTCAAAAGTAAATTAAAATCATATTTTTTGAGCAGCCTGTAGTTATACAAAAACGTACCGGACCAAGTGTTTGCGGGACAATCCCCTCCCCCACGTCGCTTTCCTATTCACATCTCGCTCAACAGTTGTAACAGAATCAAGGTCATCAAATAAAACACGGATATAATGTCCCCACTGCTGGGGCACAGGCCTTCCCTATGGATGGAATAGGGAGATTGGGCCATGACCCACCACGCGGGCCCAGTGCGGATTGGCGGGTGCTAACGACTGCAGATGCAACTGGGACCAACGGCTTAACGTGCCTTCCGAAGCACGGAAATGTGAAATCACATGCAACTATCATTTTAGTACAGTCGGACACTCTCACTCTCATAAACGTACACACATGCACATACAGACTCACACACACACTCATATATACAAACACACACGCATACATACTTTTTATTTTTAATTAAATGGTAAGATAAGAACTGTAATTTTTATTTATTTATTATGGAACAAACGTCTCTGTATCTGGAGGTGAGCGCTAATAGCTGTAACACAGTTCTAGAAACTAATATAGCTATTAACGAACCTAATTATACATGTAACCTTAATTAGTTCCAATAAATATATTTTCATTTTTATTTTTTCATTTTCATAATTGTTGTACATGTAAAATATTTGAAGGTAACTAACTATGCACCTTAATAGCCTGTTAATATGATATTAAATCGTATTTGTACTTAGCACACTCGACAAATCCCTGCGATTTATGGCGTGCTTTTTAGTTATTATTTCATGATAACAATACAATACATAAATAAAATGTGGATAGAAGCCAAGGGCTAAGTATGGGATACCAATTATTCTATGCAGACCACATCATAGCTACGAGCTCTTAATATTAAGATCACTTAAGTTTGAACTCCTTTTCTCCTTATTCCATCCATGAGGAAGGCCTGTGCCCCAGCAGTGGGGAAATGAATAGCCTGGTGATGTGAAGTTTGAACTTCCTAAAAATACTGGTAGATTTGTTTTATACTGATTTAATATCTCTTTCTATTTTTAATCATAATAACGGTTATTGTTATATCATTACATCAATATCTAGTTCATATTCTTCAAGTATCTGAGTAATCTCCTTAATATAAATACTCTGTGATTAATCGATGGCGTCGGGAAAGCGTGATTTTTCGTCTTCCTAATAACAATATCTCATACACCCACAAGTCAGATACAACAAATCATACGAAACAATATTATACTATCGTTGTAAAGGATATATTATTATTTGCAAGCTTGAGAACATATAATTTATTAGCAGTAAAAATAAAACATACTTTAAATCTAGATCCCAAAACCAAATATATTTATTCAAATCGTGTACAGTAAACAACATCCTTGAATCATCCAAATATTTTTCCTACCACCCTTTATGGACATTTTTCTTCAAATACGGTCTCCAGCTTAAATAATTAATTCTTTTTAGTGCCCTTAAAAGCAAAGTAATCTTAATCTGAGATCTTATCAAAGTACTTTGTCCGTTTAAATAGAATGCGACAAAACAATATTTGCGTCAGAAACGCGCTCTGCTTGCTTGAAATTCATTATTATAGTCAAACTCAAACTCATTTATTCAGTCTAGGCTTGTGAAGGTAACAAGCTTGTGAAGGTTAAGAAGCTACGCCATCATAATAGAAACTGCTACTCCATACTAATATTATCAATGCGAATGTGTGTCTGTCTGTTACCTCTTTACGCTTAAATCACTGAACCAATTTACCTGAAATTTGGTATACAGAAAGTTTGAGTCCCGGAAAAGACGTTTTATCCCCGATTCCAACATTTAAGTGATAAAAAGAGTGGTGGAAGTTTGTATAGTAATTATATCAAGTAGACGAAGTTGCGGTCACCCATTACTATTCTCTATATCTTAGCTGAAAAAGAGTGAATTGCTTTTAAATAAACAATGAGCACGCTTCGTCGCCCGACCGCCCACACAAGCACTTATTTCGGAAAGTTTTAAAAGCCTACGAGACACTTCTGAAAATTTAAAGAGCCCACCATTTTCTGTGAGTGAAACGTTGGCAGTTAATAGAGCGTGCGAGAATTATATTAAGGTAATAATAATAAGGTATAACGGCAAGCTTAATTGCCGTGCCATTTTGAGAAGGTTAATGTGTATTTTCTGGCAACACCATTCTATTTAATAAAACAAAATCCCCGAAGTCTGGATGACTCTAATGTTCGCGACGATCTCAAAATTATCACTGGACGGATTTTCATATGGTTTTCACAAAAGCTATAAACTTACGAATTCTAATGTCGTTTGTTAACGAGATGATTTCTAAACGGGTTGTACCCGGGTGGTACCAGCTTAGCTTATTCACCGCTTAGATTAAAACAAAAAGGGTAGATACGGTACGCTCAAACTTGCATCAAACATAAAACTGATCCCACTGCAGCGCGAACGGGACGGCGAGATCCGCGTCACTGCATTACCGACCCGAACGAAACAGCACGTTAAGTTTCAACGGCAGCGCGAACGAGACGGCGAGATCCGCGTCCCTGCACTACCGACCAATCACGCGACCAGTACTCGACGTCACTACCGAAAAAATATATTTTATAGTACTTACGAATGAAAAGTGATGCCGTGGGTTTTATTTTTAGTTTTTGAACAATTTGAGCACTTTTTAAAAACACACTTAGGCATTGTTTTATCATATAAACACTAAATATTAGCAATATTTGTTTTTGGCGTTCACATGTACGTCGTTTGCATGTCAAGTTGTGAGTAAAGCGATTAGGGTCGTGGACCACAATTTATTTTGTGAGGCTAGTGCCGTATCTACCCTTTTTGTTTTAATCTAAGATTCACCGTCCCCCGACCGACCCCAAACCATCACTAGTACCGGTGTCGATAACAACCCTTGATAGTATCCCATACGGTACGGGTCATACCTAACAGATGACCGGACGTAGACACGGTGTAAAACTGTGCCTAGAGAGGTATTCCTAGAATATAGTAAAAAAGTTGTAGAGGAAGTGATTGAGAGAAATGAAGACTAGAAATGTTAACATAAGTTAAATCTGTAACCAACTTATAAATGTAGCCTCACAACGAGATGGAAAAAGAAAGATAAATAGAAATAAGATGTAAAAGTAAGAAAGAATAAATAAAAAGTATGTAAAGTAGTATTAAGGAAGTTAAACTATAAAATAGACTTATAAGATGTTTAAACAAAATACAGGACAAAATGAAATGACATGTAATAGATTAAGAGCAAATGTATGTAATATATATATATATATATATATAATGTGGTGCAAAAAATGAGCACCCAGTGAGGGAGAAATCTAGAAAAAATAGAAACCAAAACAAAAAGAAAGGAAAAAGTCCTGTTACAAAACGGGGGTAGTCGAATAAAAAAAACTGTGCCTAGAGCCGGCGGAAAATCGGAGCCGACGCGAGCTGAGCTACATTTGAGCAATAGATATTTAAAATAACTTTTTAGCTGCCACGCATTGGCAAATACCGTGCGATAGGGACAACAGTAGCTAACGCTGCAAATTGCGTTTAAAAATTGAAAATATCGAGGTTTGGTTCTCGAAGTTTTCCTCTTCGAAAATTAGATATATGTAAAAGAAATTTTACCCTTAAAATAATAAGTAGTTATGCTAGGCCACTATGTTTTGCTTTTTTTTGTAAATGCTAATTAAATCTCCACAATAGGCGTCTTTATTGGTGTTAATAAATAGTTATTTTTTTAGGGCTTCTAGTTTCTTTGAATCACATTTATCAAAAAGCGGAAGACATAGGAGCATAGAATTTTATAAATAGAATGAGTAAAATTAAATATTATGTATGAAAGTTCATAAATATGTATGAAAAAGTCAAAGTATGGAAAAAACATTGCCCGCCTCCATCTTAACAAGCGCCCTAATGCAAATGATTATCACCAGTTTTACTAAATAATCCTCCAATAACCTGGTTTCTTTTCTTAGCAACCGTTCTTATTTTGATCTAATAATTATTAATATCTAGGCAACAAAGCTGTCACCTATCTCTTACTGGAATTCGATTATTGAAGCTGACCGTTAGTCACCATCGTATCCTCAGACAATGGACAAGAATTCTGCAAAATTTGACCACTAGGGGCGCTGTAATCGCTTG